GCTCTGGTGGATGCAGATTACAAGTTTGTGTGGATCGAGCTTGGTGGAAAAGGACACATGTCAGATGCTAAGATATGTGGCGACTTTGGGCTGTTCAACGGCATGGAAGAAGAAGCCCGAGGACTGCAAGCTCTGATGACCACCAAGACATGCCTTTCTTCATCCTTGGGGATGATGCCCTCGCACTCTGGAACTATCTCATGAAGCCATACAGCAGAAGAAGGATGTCCTGGAAGGAGAGGAATTTCAACTACAGACTCTCAAGGGGGAGAGAGTGGTGGAAATCCTGGCCAATAGATTCAGGTGTCTCCTCAGGACTCTAGAGCAGAAGCCCAACACTGTGAAGGATATAGTGGAGGCGGCAGTGGCTCTGCACAACCTACTGAGGCTGAGGCATCCAAGCATTGCAGCACAAGAGGAGGACTATGAGGATGAAAAACACAATGTCATCTCAGGGGCATGGAGGGACCAAGTGGACTGGCAGATGTGGATCAACCTCCTGCAACCCGCATCTCATCTAGAGCAGATGCGGAGGATCAGAGAGAACTCCTGCAGGCCCATTAATTCTGATTTCCGGGACATATACGGGTGCAAGAACTTGCAACAGATCATAAGTGTCCGTGAAAAAGTGTTGATACTCGTATCAACTCACATTTACTCTATCAACTCATATCTACTTGTGAGTTATTCATGTCAGGTCGTGAGCAATGGGGTCTGACAGAGAGTCACAGATCATGACAGATCGTGGGAGAATCCAACACATCTCAACAGAGTGTAGTGTTTGCCATGTCCATGATTGTTTTCCATTCACCACGATATGGCAGCACGATTAGATGCGATATATTGCGCTTTGTTACTATGCAATACAATCTGATGCGATGGTCATGACTGACTATTAATCGTAGAAACGTAATACACAATTAATCGTAGAAATTTTTTGAACTGTCCAAACATTTTCTACGATTGCCACAACTGACCTCAAGATCTGATAGGATCACCACGATTAGTCCATGATTAAGATCACGATTTCAATCGTGGCGTGAATCGTGATAGTGTGAACATAGCATAATCACCTCTACTGATAGCTGGTTTCTCATGATGTGCCGACACGATATGGCTGAAATATTGCCGATGTGACTTAAAATCTTAACTCACTCACTCACTCATGATGTGTCAAATTATGTTTAAGTCTTCACATCATTTCACCAGGAAACAAAGGTTTTGAGAACAATCAAAGTTTCAAAACGACAGGCTATATTAGGTAGATATGAGTTATTTTTATTAAATATCTGTTTATATCCATGGGTATCGTTTTATCAAATAAAGCTAGAAACAACATCCCTGATGTGTCTTGCAGACAGTAGAGAGATGCTGACTAAAGTGTATGGCCAGTTGCTAAGTCTTGTCAGCTGATAGCTCCTGATAGTTGTGACCACGTGGGCCTTCAGCAGGTGCTACAGGATATCGGTGTTAAACAGAGATACTATCAACACAGTGTTATCACAGTATCAGGCATAACAATGCATCCATCCTTATTTTCAACTGTCTCTTCTATCGAAGTTGAATAATTAATAATGAATTATTTCTTGTTTTCCAGCATAGTCTGGATTCAATGTGGGTTGTCACACATTCCTTGTGTTCTCTGTAAGTAAGACATTCATATGATAATGGTCTGTTTGCTAACCACATTCATCAGTGTAGATTTGACTCAAAACAATAACAAATCTATCGGTTCATCTTTTTTTTATTTATTGTATCCATTTGTCAAAAATTGACAGTCGTCACATATAAAATATATTTAAAGGAATTGAGATTTGTATTAGAAAACAAACATAAATAGCATTCAAAAATATATGTATGTACATGGCCATCCTGCTGAAGGAAGTCACTGCATGAAGAGGACACTAGGATCTGAACCAACACCAGGTATTCCTTGATAGAAGGAACCTTTACACAGACCTGCAGGTTTTACTGGGGGATAGATGGGGAATGGGGGAGGTGGTCCTGACGAGGACACTAGGATCTGAACCAACACCAGGTATTGCTTGATAGAAGGGACCTTTACACAGACATCGATGTTTTACAGGGGAGGGTTGGGGGTCAAAAGTGGGGAGGATAACAACTGACTTGAAATAATGGCCATAATCTAATGTAAACCTTCCAATGTAGAACTATTGTGATCTGAAAAAACATACACAGCCTGAATATGGAAGTTTTCCTGCATGTTTTTATGTGTAAATGAGGGTGGTGCATTAATAACGTTTGGCGTACATTTTCTATACAGGGATGGCAACAGGAAAATCTATTTTCAGCTGAAAACGTAATATTGTGTCATCGAGTTGAGGGTTTCTCAATGGATTTAGATGATTCACAATTGAACAATTTGAAATAAAATCCGCGAGATGAGCAGAAAATTGCCATCCCTGTCTATATAAACAAAATATATGTCTGGCAATTCTACTGGTGTTAAACCTCCTCGTGTTCCTCCTCAACTGTTCAGCAGTATGTCTAGAAATGGTGATATGAGACAAAGGTGTATTTACTTCTGATTGACATAAACAAGCAGGATTGGATCATTTGAAGCATCCTATAAAGCTGAAAATGAGGTTGACCAATCACCGGCACTGTGTAAAGTATGTTAAAGGGACGGCATATCCTTATATCACAGATCATGTAGCACTAAACACTCAGCTAAATATGGACAACAGTTCTACATGCCTAGACACGTATCGTCGGTACACACAAATCATTCACGTCACAACACAATCTCTGTTTGTCAGGCATTGCTGCAGATACCCTTCTTATTGTCATGGACGGAAATAGACACAGAAATGGAAGGATTGTTTTGACACAACATTCTGAAGATCAATTTTGTAATCAGTGTGAGGATTGTTTTGACACAACATTCTGAAGATCAATTTTGTAATCAGTGTGGTGACAAATTTGTTGATCTGGACACCCCAGTTTCTGGGTGATTACTCCTCTGAAATCTTACAAACACATATGTACATATTACGCTACAACTATGACTGTTCAACAAGAATTTACATATAATTTTCTGCTCTTTGTTCCATTATTTCTTTTTCATTTTTCAGTATCTGTTACACATTTCTTCTGACAGTGACATGGAACATACAGTCAGTGATGTTTTGATAATCATATTGATCACAGCTGATTAAATTAAATAATGAAACATTTATACACTGGATAGGTAGGAAAGCTGAGCTTAATGCCTGAAAAACTAAGATTGTGCCTACTTTCAATAAACATTAAAATCACATTGGTAATACAACCCATATCACCAGTATCACATTCAACGAAAACATGTTCTGAGCATTGATGAGTATAAATTATGATATTATATAACTCAAATATATACTTCACTATCAAATGAATCATTGTTTGTAAAAAGATTATGTATTGTTTAACTTTTGATGGCTTTCTCCTGTAATTCCAATCAATACCACTACAAACAGATTCATGCCGTACAGTATTTGGCCATCCATTTACTATGGTAAACAGAATATATGTTGTGTAGATCAGTACAATACCTTTGGCACAGAGTGTTTGTTTTGTAAGGAAAACTTACTGTATTTGTGTTTTGATGTTTTCATCCTATAAAGGGTGGTTTGGAGAATGAAAATACATTAATCTATGTATATTTAGTTTATGATTGTGGATTTTGGTTTGGTCAAATCTGTAAGCCAAATAATATGCAAAACTTGGTTTAAAATTGTTTCAATAAAATTGTCTCTATTGCCAATAGGTGTAGAAGTACCCCCTTAACATGTGGAATTACATGTGTCTGACGTTCATGCTCACATATTACAATTTTCAATCAAAGTTTTGATTTGATATAAACTATTCATATTTTCTCCCCATGGTAGCTGTACCACGTTTCTACAACAATAAAGCACTATCATAACATAACGTAATATTTACACAAAAATAAATGGATTAAGCAGGTAATATACTCAAGACTAGAAATAATGTTACCTCTACATCAAGCACACATAACTATTTAGATTTCTCAGAGGTAATGTCTTTTCATTCATGTTAAATCACCATCATACTGTTTGTGTATGTGTTAAAAAGCTACGTATAAACAGAATTATACAAACTACAAGAATGGTATCAATCGAAAAAAGCCCAATTGCTTGCAAATGACTCAATTCCAGAAAACAACATATTTTGGATGATCCAGATGGATTACTATGACAGTGCAACATAAGAAGAACAATAGATTTGTTGTTTCACTTGATACGTATAATGAGGTAGGAATGAAGTGTAATGTCACATGTTGTGTTACATTGGACTATGTACAGAAGCAGATCCGCATAAAGACCCTATATAGATACATTTCAGAGTACCACTATTCTCAGAAAACTGACAAATATAGAGTACCCTCATCCTCAAATGTCAGCTGTATATGTCCTGCTAGCTGCTTCTTACTGAGGACATGTCCATATTTAATCTTTGATCACATAAAAACAGATTTATTTGGCTCTCACTGTCAACAATCATTATGGAGCTGCCTAACTGATGAGGAAGGGAAGTAACTCCGGCATGCACCAGTGAATATTTTTAGACATACTTAGAAGGTGAAAGAAGGGATGTTTGCTCAGATTAGGGAACTGATGTTCATATTTGGTCACAAGAGAATAAGAAGCCTCTATTCCCTAATTTGAAACATTTTAGATATGTTAATTTTGTTTCCAAAATATAATAATCATACATTTTCAATGACAGTTTATATGAAGTCGACCAGAAGCAAGAAGCAAGAAGCTGAGATACACCCTGGTATAAATAATGTGATAAACACGTGAAAACATTGTGCTTCAAATACCAGAACACGAATATTGAAGTAAGTGAAGGAATTTGTTAATATTATCAAGTTAAATACTGGTTAAAGCAGGTATTACATTGACATGTCAAGAAAACTGCCAGAACCTATATTTACAATCTGATTTTAATCTTTACCAATATCTACTCACTGCCAGTTTATAGAGACTCTTTAATATTTAAAACAATGTTTATAAGAAACAGAAGACATTTAAATGCATGGATAAATGTCATTCATATCATTAGTCATTAATCCATAACATGAGGAAAGTATTTCAAATGATTTCATGTTGTAAACTGCAAATGTCAGCACATTGACAAATTAGGAATTTCTTCACACAACAGTTTCATAAAACCGTGATATCAACACACTCACTGGATAAATAAATACTAATTAGTGTTTCAGATTAATTTTCATTGGTAATTAGATAGATCATATACTACTGACTGTCATTCTCTCAATCCCTACCATTAATAATTATGCCAGACCAATTCAGTTCTAGTTTTGGGGTGAAAAACATCCTCAGAGGCAGCATCCTAAGGCAGAGGCAGAAAATACAAAAATACATATCAGAACTGATCTGAAATGACTATTAAATCAATATGATCACAAAAAATATATTAAAATTAAATAGTTCCTTTCAACAATCTTACATTTTAATCATAATATCTGCATTATACAGGGAATCTTCATATAAAAAATCAGAAAATATATTGGTCTGGCCTTAACAAAAATGCATAACTTGATTAAGATTGTTTTATGTTATACAATGTCTCGTATGAAATAACTTAATAACTTGAGGAAATAAATACACAACACTATGACATAATGGTACTTGCAAAACCAACAAGTTGATAACACCATTCCACAATGTACAAAGAACATTTGATATCGGCTAAAATGGGACGGAGGAATTTGGCAACCATTGGTATAAAAATGTAAAGGCACATGTACAAGAAAAGAAAATTTGTTGTTCCATAATTCAATATTAACATTCAAAACAAAATGTGTACAACTAGACACTGAAGACATTCACATGACCAGTTACTGTTGTAGTCATCACTGATTTGGCACATGGTGTTGCTAATATCTACACATATACAACATACACGCAATTCAAATCCAAGATTGATCATTCAGTAGCACTTGGAACCCTGGGATAGATTGTGTCTTTATCACAGTTTCTGATTGGCTGAACCTTCAACAACTGACCTCGCACATGGACGGATAACATTATGAAGGGTTGACATGAGCCCACCCCAGCTGTGTGGCTAGATACACCTCTAGCCAGGGAATCACAGGGCAACACGAAGGCAGCAGTGAGGCATCTCAGTTAGTTCAGTCTTCAAGAACAGATGTCGAGACACCATTATCAGCAGTTTATAGATGAGCATCACAGAAGACATATGGATCTGTAGATATTTGTGGGAACATCTCAGAAGACTTGTGAATCTGCAGACATTCCAAGGAACAGCACTTAAGACTTGTGGATTATAGGCATTGCTTGGAACATCTCAGAAGACTTGTTAATCTGCAGACATTCCCAGGAACTTCTCAGAAGACTTGTTAATCTGCAGACATTCCCAGGAACATCTCAGAAGACTTGCTAATCTGTAGACATTCCTAGGAACATCACTTAAGACTTGTGAAACTGTGAACATTCCCAGGAACATCTTAGAAGTCTTGTTGATCTGTAGACATTCCTTGGAAAATCACAGGAGACTTGTGGCCTTATACAGAACTCCACTGAACAACACTAAAGACTTGTGGACCTGGTGTTGAGCAGAACATCACAGAAACTGTTAGACCTGGCCTGTGGACTGTTGGAGGCGGTGGAAGGTTTTGGCATTTGGTTTTGTCAGTAGTGGCACATTGCTTACAGTCATCATTTTAGGAACACTATGTACAAATGGTTACAGACCTTTGGTGTGATTGAGGTACTATGTAGAGTCCACTCCGTGTCAGGTATGCATGATGCACAGCAAGTAATACTCATTTCAACACAGTTGTGTCATCTTGATATAGTCTTAGGTTATCACCTGTTTTCACCATGCAGGTTTTGAAAATCTCACATTTTTGGTTGTGTCACGTTTTTTCTCCTGCATATTTTTCATCGCCACAGCTTCTGAACGTTCCCCTTCATAGCTATGAGGACGTACTTCATGTGTCTCGGTCACTGGTTTCCTTGGAGATATTGTTGGAGGTGTAACGGAAGTTCGACCAGCGAGATGTTTGTCTTTCCCTGCAAACTGACTCTTGCCCTTGAAGTTGTGCTGGAATTTCTCAAAGGTGCTCTTTTTTTTGACTGGTGGCTTTCGTTGAGGGCTATTTTGCTTTGTTTCCCAACCTTTGAGTTCTTTTTCAATCTTCCTCATTTGATGATCTTCTTCTACCTCAAGCTTTTCAATCTACAATGTGACCAATACATAACATTAATTTAGCTCGTAAAACCATTTGTGTAATCATAAAGTGGGCCTAAAATCACTGTATGTGGTAATGACTATAAGTCTCCATATGATCTCAATACTGGTTTCAGCAGTGTCGCAATAATAAGAATGAATAGATACATTACTTTCTGAAATACAACAGACAGTTTCTGCTGTGAATGCATGCAGGGGTTTTACAACAGAATGGATAATCATGGTTGTGAGTAATGTCTGCGGATATCATGTGACTCTGACGAGACTGACCCTGTCGAAGCGGTTGAGCAGATGCTCCCAGCGAGGTACAGCATTGTCCAGCTGGTGTTCCAGGTACAGGGCTTGTTCCTCTGACAGTACTGGATCACTGCCGCTGCTGAGAGATGAGGAGATGCTGGAACGCCGGGACGTGCTACTGGCTCGACTCGGCAGGGACGGATGCCCCTTGAACCGGACTGATCGGAATGCCTGCAAGCACATTTCTAATCATGTGAAATGTTACAAAAATTTTGTACCTTTCATATCAAACCATGGAAGCACTATTGACTAGTAAAACTGTGAAAGTATTTGAAGTAACAATTACAGGTCCCATAACCCTTGACTCAGTCGGACAGGGAGACAGCTTGTGACTTTTGGAGAGGAAATGTGATTATTTAGACACAGTATAAAATACAATAGCCTTTCAGATGGAATTTTACTTTATCCAGCAATTTCCTGGTTTTTAGGGTCTGCTGATCCATACACCGAGGAAACAAAACGCCATATGTAAGTTACACTCACAGGTTTCTGTTTAGTGATGCCTGCCCACAGCTTGAACCTCTTCATCATGAACTCGATCATCTCATGGTCCTGTGTGTCCAGGGTAGACTTGAAGAACAAGGACTGGTGGGTGATCTTGTACGTGTCCAGCATCACGGCAATCACCAGTCCGATGAACAGCCCGTAGGCGAAGGCGTAGAAGGAGTAGAAGTAGAAGTGGGTCATGACGGGCCAGTGGTGGAGGAAATGCAGGAAATCAAACGACCCACGTATGACTCCCATCAGGGAAAGTAGGGCTGACTGAAAGCTTGCGAAGCCCCTGGTGGTCATTCCAAAATACTGAAAACGATATTATATGTGTTTAATACCAGAATAAGACATAACTGTTGTTTTATTGTGAAATTAATGTGCAATAGCATAATCTTGTCTGGGCGAGAAGGAACAGTGGTTGATACCATTTGCAATGATCCATCTGGGGTAAAGGACACTATCAGCCAGGTATGTCCAGGCAAGGGTTACACTGATATAGAATCCTTACTAAACATATCCTTAGTTACTGTAATCCCTGCAAACCTTACTGCAAGGCAGACCCATCTATTCAATGTACCTGGGCCCCGTTTCAGAAAGTTATCGTAGTGCCTTGACTGTAGTACCTCCTATACTGTAACAAAGACTTACAAAGGTCGTAGCACTACCATAGCTCTCTGAAACGGGACCCAGGTATCCAAGCTATGCTATGTACCAGGTATTTCACCTATGCTATGTACCAGGTATCCAAGCTATGCAACGTACCAGGTATCCAAGCTATGCTACGTACCAGGTATCCAAGCTATGCTACGTACCAGGTATCCAAGCTATGCTATGTACCAGGTATCCCACCTAGTCTACGTACCAGGTATCCAAGCTATGCTACGTACCAGGTATCCAAGCTATGCTACGTACCAGGTATCCAAGCTATGCTACGTACCAGGTATCCCACCTATGCTACGTACCAGGTATCCAAACTATGCTACGTACCAGGTATCCAAGCTATGCTACGTACCAGGTATCCCAGTTGGGCGGAGGACATCAGACCCAGCAGGAATATTAATGTACAGCCGGCCAGCTTCCCCAGCGCATTCGAGATTGTCTTCCCATATGCATGGAACATAGGGAAGAAGCGTAACTGTCGCACGACCTGTAAAATACACACATCTTTAACTTTCCAATCTTCCTGCAAATCAGTGAATGATTGTGGCCACTATTATGAGGAAACAGGAGGTTTAAGTCAAATTAATAGATTTGATGTTGATGTTGATGTTGATAGCTATAGGCTTGTTAACACCATACACCTTTCTATGCTGTTTAAAGTATGATCTACTCTTGATCTGGTGACAACTTTGTTGAAAACACATGGAGTAGTATTGTTGCATGCATAAATTAGTATGTCTGATCACTTAGACAACTAGGAGTTAGTTGCTGTAAGGTATGCATCATAACTGGTGCTGGTGATAGGGAGGGGGTTCACACCTGTACCCCCTTCTGGATCCGTATATGCTGTACACTATGTCAGGGTACAATATGTATCTTGCTGGTAACTTGTCATATGATATACCATACACTAGCTACAAGCCATGATAGAGTGAGTGAGTTTAGTTTTACGCCGCACTCAGCAATATTCCAGCTATATGACGACGGTCTGTATATAATCTAGTCTGGACCAGACAATCTAGTGATCAACAGCATGAGCATCGACCTGCGCAATTGGGAACCGATGACATGTGTCGAGTCCTGGCCACCCGATCCCGTTAGTTGCCTCTTACGACAAGCATGGGTTACTGAAGGTTCATTATACCAGGACCTTCACAGGTCTCCATGATAGAGAGTCGTACTGCATCATTATGGAAATGTACAAACATATATTCTGGAAATGTAAGTCAACATACCAATATTCCTTTGAAGTAGTATTATTGTTAGAAGGCATTAATCAGGACCACCATATCTACAAGACTTCACAATGATCAACATCCCGTTTTCATCAGCACTGACTGATACAGTTCTCATCATTTACACATGTATACCCTTTTCTTATGGTGCCATATTCAGGTTATATACATACATGCTTCCTTAAACTTTCCAACTCAAGTAGAAGTGCAGATTCATCTGTGTAACTATCTAAATGGCAAGCCACTGACATTACTTCTCCACCAGAGAGTGAATCGAAACATTTGGGAAACAATTCACACTTTAGTTGGTTGGTTGGTTGGTTGTTTATCGCCACTCTCAGCATAATTCAGCTATATGGCGTGGTCTGTAAATAATTGAGTCTGGACCAGACAATCCAGTGATCAACAGCAAGAGCATCAATCTACACAAATGGGATACGATGACATGTGTCAACCAAGACAGTGAGTCATACCACCCAATCATGTTTGTTGCCTTTTTCGACAAGCATGGGTTACTGAAGACCAATTCTAAACTGGATCTTTTGAATCTGGATCTTCATGGGTAAATTCACATTTTAAGTGTTTATTTGTATTTCAGTTCATGATATATCTGTCAACTGTACACAGATTGCATTAAACAGAAAGGTAAATAAACATTAACTTGCCCAGAGTGTGGTATCTGTTGGTTATACATTCCTTGCTATATCAGCTAATACACCAACAGTGTTGTGGAAAGTGTCACCCCACAATGAACCTGCTGTTGTATTGGTGTATACTCATTGACAAGTATAAGGTGTAACTCTTGTGTGCTAAATCGCTAGTGAATTATTAAAGCTGTATATTAGTGCCTATATTTGAGGCTTGAGCCCTAGTGTCATCAACAGGTGACTAAATGTTACCTTCAGGAATATTAGGAACAACAGCCATGCATGCAGCATACGCATAACATCATGCAAGTGTGCGGGCATCTCAAAGTTTGTGAAATCATTCTTGTGAGCAGTGTAGTAACCAAATGTGTCTGTTGCCGTGACAACACAAGCCATGTAGAGGCCAATACACACAACTGTCAACACCACGATGACTAGATCTAACCAGTTCCAGAACTGCTTCACAAACTGGGCTCGTTCTTCTCGTATTGTGAACCCAAGATGGACAAACAGGTAGATGGCGCAGAGCAGGAACAGAACCTGGAGAGCAAGTGGCAAATCAGACTCAATACATGTTAGGGATCAGGTATTGGTTTCTAGGGAGACACTGACCTATTTAACTTGAAAATGGACAAAATGGAGAATAATTATGGCTGTGCTATAAACACACTGCCATTTTGAAACCCTGTCAGTTCTTTATGTTTATTATTAAAGATTTACTTTGCTAAAAATTTAAGAATCATAGTGGTAAAAAATGATTCATCTGATTTACAGCCAGTGTTTGCTGAAGGTTCACTCAACCTACTTCAGTATGTTGAACTGCCAGAGCTTCAAGGTGAAAGGTTGGAATCAAGAGTGGAAGATATGCATTTAATGATACTATTACACACAACAATATTACACAAAGTTTGGGAGTGGTATGAGCATATACTTTGTACTTTTATGGTAAAAATGTAGAAGAGAAAACCCATAGAAACAACACATAAAAAACAGCATGCAAGCAGCCCAGGAGGGTCATCACACAACCTTAGTGTTCACAGACAATCAGCAGTATCATCCTAAGGTCTTTGTAACCTTCACTTCACAGTATTCTTCACACAAGTTGCACATCAGTTTGAAAGAATCTTTGCTTTCATTGCAAGGTTACCATAGAATTGACAAAACTATTTTCCATTTTTTGTTCCAACAATTTGATAATTCTGAGAAGGTTGATGATAAGTGGGAATGTCTTACCTCACTGACCATGAGGGGATCGACTCTGCCGGGGATGAAGCGTAGGAGTTTGATGGTTGATACATACTGACTAGAGAGGGCGCCTCCTGCAGGACAATCACATGTCATCATTATGTAGGTATTCGAAACCAAGCCAGATACACAGAGAAATACAGGACCTTGACACAAACATTTGATGCTAGGGCTGCAACGATTCACCCAGACCTCGATTCGATTCGATTGTCAATACTGGACCCTTGATTCGATCATTTTCGATTCAATTCTTCATACAAGTAAAAACATTAGATTTCATTTAACTCTGAGAGTTCAAGTGTCAGCTTTTTTTATGTGAAATCCATCTTCAACTTGACGATGTCTACTAACGACAATGCTCATTGGATAATTAGCTCGGCGTCAACCAATCATGTTTCGCCTTATTTCTGTGCTTGAAACTGATCGAGTTGGATTAAAAATTACATTCTCACTGTGTGGAAACAATTGAAATAGAAATTCAAATATCGAATCGAAATAGTGATAATGGTTATTGAAAATCGAAACTAAGATGTCAGATTTGATTTTCGATGAATCAAATCGTTTGATGCTATTCCTGAGATCTTCATTTCTCACATAGGTATATTTTAATCATAATACAAAGTCCAATTTAATGTAAATTGTTGCAAGTAAGTTGAAAATGATATTTTTCGTAATGGTAAATTGTTTGATGACCAGATGCCTGAAACAAACCATGAACAACACATGTTCTTGATTCTTAAACAATACTTCCTTTGCATTCCAGTCGTCTGGTATGGGAGATCACTGAGCAAAATATTAGGATCAAATATTTGAGAAAAAAAAGTTAAATTTTGTTCAGTAATAACATATGTGACAGGATGAAATGTTTGTATATATTTAGTGTTTTATTCTTTAGTTTTAACTGAAGTAAATATTCAGTTTAGTGTATTTTAAACATTATATACTTCACTCTTCAGCTTCTCTTAACCCATCTCTCAGCTTACTGCATGAGTTTTCTGCCTCAGCCACAATCACCCAGAGCACTGCCACACAATAGCCTGCCCAAGCGCGCCACTTACTGTCCCTTTGTCATAAACCTTGTTAGCTTACTGTCCCCTGTTTTAAGGTTTGAGTTTATTATCAGTTCATAACGTTTCAACTGTCAACTGGTCACAAGGCATTTGTGGATTTTGAATCTCACACGTTTTGAGTTAATTGGACATTTATAGGAGCTCTTGAGATCATTTCTGAAGGTTAGTCTATTTCCATACTGTTTGTAGTTTGTACATACTCATTGGATGTATACGCATATTGTGTTTATGCTTTGATAATTTGGCTGCTTTGTCATATTGTAAATATTGAGTAGTTTGTGATAACTAGTTGTGTTGCAGAATGTAATGCATTATAAGTCTAATTATTTACAAATGGTAAATAATTCAATAATTCAGTAAGCTATTTATCAGTGTTAAACTTAATCTTTAAGTACAATACAGCTGTCGTATGGATGTGTAAATGTATGAAAATATGAATGTGTAAATGTATGAATGTATAATGTGTAAATGTATGACTGCATAATGTGTGAATGTAAGAATGAAGCAGGGTTTTACCATTATATATATTTTAAATGTTTCTCATTAATCAGCAATAACTAAACGTATTTGTTGTATTGTTATTGCTGTCATTTGATTAGTCTGCACAATGTGTATATATGTTTCATTTATTCGTGGAGATGTAGGTGTATTGCTCGTGAAGCTGTCAGTGTGTACTGATTATACCCAGGTCCACACACTTGGTGGGTGTATTATATTTTATATATGCATTGTGTAATGTCTACATGATAAGAAATGCTTGTTTCCCTATATGATATGATATGTATATGCCTATCTATGTATGAATTAAAGTATAAATGGAATGTGTCATCAATGAAATATTGAGGCAATGTATATGGAATAGATTAGCAATAATGATATTTTGTAAATGGTTATATTTAAAGATATTAATGATTGATATTATCTATCAGCATATGTTTATGTTTTGTCTAAAGAATGTTTTAATTGTTTCAGGGTTTTGTACATGAACTATCAGAAATAAAGGGCCATAATGCGAACACCACCGTGTCTGTTCTAATGATGAAACAGTTCTGGTTTTACAAACAAGAAGTGAATTCTCAAGAAGTTTGACAACACATGAGTTCCTTTCAACGAGGCCTCAGAGTGATACCAAAAGCTGGAAGACCCGAGTCACATGAATATAACTTTCAGTTCCACAGCCTAAACACATCTCAATAATACACAGTCAATATGAACATGAGACAATACTGATAGCTGATCATGGAATTCAGTTCAAAACTAGGATGCTGACATTGACAGACATGTTTGTAAATACTTATCAAAAGGATGTATGGGTAGAAAATCGGTGTTTGTAAATCTTAGCAAAAAGACTCCTGGTGGAAAATCCGTGTGATGCCAATACGAAATGATAAAGAAAACCTCATTTTGGGAAGACTTTTGAATGAGTACACAATCCTGCCTCATGAGAAACACCTTTGAAAATAAATCAGCTCTATAAAACGATTCCAAAACTGCAAATCAGCAAAGATTACAGATGGTGAATGAGTGAGTCACTATGGCAACAACTGATATAGGCTATAATGATGATGATGACACACTCAAGGCAGTTCCACGTCCGCCATGCAGGGGTGTTGTGTACCTGTCAAGGGAAACTCCAGGAGGACTGTGACTGTAGTTGTGAGGTCGGCGGCAGCACTGTATAGAGAGAACTCGATGAACACAGCCCTTGTCCTGTAACAGACAGCTAATATGTAATTTATATTTATTTACCATCACACAATGCTAGTACAACACACTATAGTATTTACAATGAAACAGGATATTTGGTATGTTTGAAATGAACAGCCAACAGCCTGTGTATTTTACATATCATGAGAGAGAATAGCTCACACATGTTCATTTAGATTTTGATGTCCACACAAAATTTACTCAATTTCACACCAAGCACACTTTCTCCCTTTCCATGAAATCTATTTATAGCTGACACCAGTGTTGTGAATGCTCTTATTTCCATACCCACACAAAGAGCAGGGTAAAAAACACTAAACTCAATATTTTCCAATTTCTTTTCTCATATGAAGTAGAACAAAGCCCCCATATTAAGAGCCTCTGTTGTTACATGTAGTTTTCAAGCATGGCTGACATAATATTGTACATCAGACACAATACCTGACACAAATAAGTTTCCTTTAATCACAATCAACTTGACATCACTTTTGGGTCAATAACTTTTTCCTGGGTGAGTTGGGGATATCACTTAAGATTAGATTCTCCAGTAACACTTACCGCAGATTGATCCAGTCCTTATCAAATACATCACTGAGGATGCTGAGTGTCTCGTTGTAGGTGTTACCGAGAGTCATCACGTAGCCTCCACCGGAGTAGTGGAGGTCATGGCCATATTTTTCACGCCTAAGAGGAAAACGGCATTCAGTGTTGTAATGATGATGTTTTTAGACATCCTGCTGTCTACTATAATACTCAGAATCTAATTCTCTTTTCTCATTCAAGGTCCATATCTTTTTAACCCAGCACGATGAAGACCAAAGAAAAGACCTTATACTCCCTACAAAATACACTGTAACATTGTCCTCCTAAACATTCATGTTAATAAATTTTCATCAATAGTTAATTTACATATATCTCTTGATACAGTTTGTATATAAGTAAAACATGGAAATGCCTCATATTATTAATAAATTGGAACTGGAATCTTATTACTAATTTACTCTAGCCTTTAGACTATACAACAATGTTGAACATGTAGCGAGGACATTGCAATGGAGCATGAGTGGATGACCAATCAGAGAGGGTGACGTACATGTGAAGCTCTGGCGCTGTGAAGTATCTCCAGGTAACGTTGTTGCCCATGTTGTTGCTCCAGGCTTCGCCGTACGTGGCAGTATCCTCGGTGAAGCAGAGGTTTCCCTCACATGGTAATGCTGTCAGTGCTGGCAAGTGGAACTTGGCAAGGGGAGAGCTAATAGGACAATCATCTGAAAGTAGCAAGTTATCTCCCCTTACAGATGTGTGGTAACAGGTAAGACAGGTTTCAAACTTGATGGGAACCAGTAAACAGTTTGATAATGACACAACAGCCATGGTGCCCATCTACCTAACATAAACCTGATTTACCAAGGAGGCAAGGGAGTGTCAGAAGTGTATGATCCTATGATGATAGCAAGTATTTCTGTTAAAAACATGAGAATCTATGCTCATGATGACAGTCACTGGATTGTCCAGTCCCTGGTTTTATTATCACTGACCAAATATGTTTTACATGACAAGTCTTAATATGGACACACTTGGCAATGATACAAGAATCTGTATCGAAACATTGCACTACTGCGGTTGTTATCCATAAAGTTTGTCAATATTGTACTTCCCAACTTCTATAATGCCTCTCACAGAAGTTATCATAAGCTTTAGTTTGGATTTTAATTACAGAAACATTTTTCTAGGTAGTTATCTACAAGGAGGGATTTAATTTTTTGTATAATAAAACACTTTGACTAGATCTTTCGCTAGTAATTGATGATGACCTTTCATCATGTAATGCCACATACCAAGTGTGCTCCTGATCTGACGGAGTCGCGCTGGCCCCAGCAGGATCCCAAACTGCTCCTGGGGATTCAGTTCTCGATGGTGCAGAGTGTCGGCCAGCACTGTCTCAGTCCACGTCCTGAAGTCTGGGATGCTGAAACAAAGCAAGTCTTCAGCAACTTTGGCAGAGTCAGACATGTGGAGGAAGTGTAAGACTGCATCCAATTCATTCATCTGCCATAGTTATGATCTGGCAACTGATGAGAAGTTGAAGATAATTTGGTTGAAATCCAGTAAGATATATGACAGCTGACCATGCTGATGTATGTCTGACATTTCAATATTTAAAATACATAAGAGAAGTCCAAGAATGGTACATCAGATTTGTCATCAATTTTGTCTTCACCAAAATATACAGCTTTTCAGAAAAGGTGTGCACTTAATCAGAAATACCACAGATGACAAGGAACAAATGTCCTTTCACAAGCAAAATAATGGTCAAATGTTTGAGGATTTTTGTTGTAAGCATCAGACCAGGTTGTACATATTAACATGACAAGGATGTGGGGTTTTGCACCTTTGTGTAATGTATGCAATTCTTCACTTGTGATCTTCAAAAATCCTTGAACCAATGTGGGCTGCATCCATGCTATACTTACAACCATGAGATATACTCCAGAAATAACAACAACTTTATTTATTGGGATTTTTAGAAGAAAATAATTCAATAAATGTTTGTTTTTTTGTCTTTAAAGATTTCAAGTGGCCAATGTTTTATTGATGAAGATGGATTGGCTACTGATAATGACTTCCTTCCAACCTAACTGGAACAGCCTGTAAAGCCTTTGAAGTGTATCATCATAATTTATCAACTTTCATTGAACCATAAATATTCAAGAGACCACTGGTACGTTTTCCTACACCAGTATTCAGTATACAGACAGTGACATTAGTATTCTAACCTCCTGACGTGACTGAGGTTGAGTCCTGCAGCTCCATCCTGCTGCAGGAGATGTTGTACATGCTGTGACAACATGCAGTTGGTGGTGCCATTGTAGACGAAGCAGATAGCCAGCAGCAGTGACAGCAGGAGCATGTGGGAGATGAACTGCCGCAGTATCACGTGCATGCGCTGGATCTTCACGCCCTCCTCCTTGGCGTGCATCAGGGCGAACCCACCCAGGGGACGGAACTTGACATCCTGGGAGAGGGAACATGGAGCAAGGTGAAGAAAACACAGAAAGCTGGTGGTGTCACGAGACTAAAGACAGTTCAGACCCCGCAACCCACAAGAGTAACTAACATGACTGCAACCCCTGTGTCAAACAGGCAAACATTTAATATGACTTAACTCACTCCCTCTAATACCAATTAACCCAATACATTCAGAAAACATTAATTATGTTGTTAAACAACCAATACATAATTCAATCATGTAGTCAGATGGGCCTAGCTCAAATCCTAACTGTTGTAATGTATGCCTCCCTTCATTTAGTGCAGTGATAATCATAGTGATAAGTTCAGAACTGGTCTTATCGTAGTGTAATACAGCAAGCAACCCTGGGCAAGAAACAAGCATGTGATGTTCACTACCTTGAATGTTTCGAAGAGATTGTCAACTACTGGAGGTATTGTGATGGACTCCTTCTCGATCTCCTCCTGGACGTCTCGGCTGCGTGCTGCCAGATACAGCGCCACCAGCAACACCTACAACACACCAACAAACGGCTGCAACCTCCACAACTCTACCTGTGTTACAGCATGACCACCACTCCAGCATACAGGTATCTGGAGTAGTTAACTTAGGGTACACTGAACAGCACCACCTACAACACCTACAACACACCAACACACGGCTGCAACCTCCACAACTCTACCTGTGTTACAGTATGACCACCACTCCAGCATACAGGTATCTGGAGTAGTTAACTTAGGGTACACTGAACAGCGCCACCAGCAACACCTACAACACACCAACACACGGCTGCAACCTCCACAACTCTACCTGTGTTACAGCATGACCACCACTCCAGCATACAGGTATCTGGAGTAGTTAACTTAGGGTATACTGAACAGCGCCACCTACAACACACCAACACATGGCTGCAACCTCCACAACTCTACCTGTGTTACAGCATGACCACCACTCCAGCATACAGGTATCTGGAGTAGTTAACTTAGGGTATACTGAACAGTGCCACCAGCAACACCTACAACACACCAACACATGGCTGCAACCTCCACAACTCTACCTGTGTTACAGCATGACCACCACTCCAGCATACAGGTATCTGGAGTAGTTAACTTAGGGTATACTGAACAGCGCCACCTGCAACACCTACAACACACCAACACATGGCTGCAACCTCCACAACTCTACCTGTGTACAGCATGACCACCACTCCAGCATACAGGTATCTGGAGTAGTTAACTTAGGGTATACTGAACAGCGCCACCAGCAACACACCAACACATGGCTGCAACCTCCACAACTCTACCTGTGTTACAGCATGACCACCACTCCAGCATACAGGTATCTGGAGTAGTTAACTTAGGGTATACTGAACAGCACCACCTGCAACGCCTACAACACACCAACACATGGCTGCAACCTCCACAACTCTACCTGTGTTACAGCATGACTCCAGCATACAGGTATCTGGAGTAGTTAACTTAGGGTACACTGAACAGCACCACCTACAACACCTACAACACACCAACACATGGCTGCAACTTCCACAACTCTACCTGTGTTACAGCATGACCACCACTCCAGCATACAGGTATCTGGAGTAGTTAACTTAGGGTATACTGAACAGCATGCACCAGCAACACCTACAACACACCAACACATGGCTGCAACCTCCACAACTCTACCTGTGTTACAGCATGACCACCACTCCAGCATACAGGTATCTGGAGTAGTTAACTTAGGGTACACTGAACAGCACCACCTACAACACCTACAACACACCAACACATGGCTGCAACCTCCACAACTCTACCTGTGTTACAGCATGACCACCACTCCAGCATACAGGTATCTGGAGTAGTTAACTTAGGGTATACTGAACAGCACCACCAGCAACACCTACAACACACCAACACATGGCTGCAACCTCCACAACTCTACCTGTGTTACAGCATGACCACCACTCCAGCATACAGGTATCTGGAGTAGTTAACTTAGGGTATACTGAACAGCACCACCAGCACCACCCACAACACACCAACACATGGCTGCAACCTCCACAACTCTACCTGTGTTACAGCATGACCACCACTCCAGCATACAGGTATCTGGAGTAGTTAACTTAGGGTATACTGAACAGCGCCACCTACAACACCTGGTACACCTACAACACACCAACACATGGCTGCAACCTCCACAACTCTACCTGTGTTACAGCATGACCACCACTCCAGCATACAGGTATCTGGAGTAGTTAACTTAGGGTATACTGAACAGCGCCACCAGCAACACCTACAACACACCAACACATGGCTGCAACCTCCACAACTCTACCTGTGTTACAGCATGACCACCACTCCAGCATACAGGTATCTGGAGTAGTTAACTTAGGGTATACTGAACAGCACCACCTGCAACACCTACAACACACCAACACATGGCTGCAACCTCCACAACTCTACCTGTGTTGCAGCATGACCACCACTCCAGCATACAGGTATCTGGAGTAGTTAACTTAGGGTATACTGAACAGCACCACCAGCAACACCTACAACACACCAACACATGGCTGCAACCTCCACAACTCTACCTGTGTTACAGCATGACCACCACCACTCCAGCATACAGGTATCTGGAGTAGTTAACTTAGGGTATACTGAACAGGCGCCACCTGCAACACCTACAACACACCAACACATGGCTGCAACCTCCACAACTCTACCTGTGTTACAGCATGACTCCAGCATACAGGTATCTGGGTAGTTAACTTAGGGTATACTGAACAGCCCACCAGCAACACCTACAACACACCAACACACGGCTGCAACCTCCACAGCTCTACCTGTGTTACAGCATGACCACCACCAGCATACAGGTATCTGGAGTAGTTAACTTAGGGTATACTGAACAGCCACCAGCAACACCTACAACACACCAACACACGGCTGCAACCTCCACAACTCTACCTGTGTTACAGCATGACCACCACTCCAGCATACAGGTATCTGGAGTAGTTAACTTAGGGTATACTGAACAGCACCACCAGCAACACCTACAACACACCAACACATGGCTGCAACCTCCACAACTCTACCTGTGTTACAGCATGACCACCACTCAAGCATACAGGTATCTGGAGTAGTTAACTTAGGGTATACTGAACAGCCACCTGCAACACCTACAACACACCAACACATGGCTGCAACCTCCACAACTCTACCTGTGTTACAGCATGACCACCACTCCAGCATACAGGTATCTGGGTAGTTAACTTTAGGGTATACTGAACAGCTTCACCAGCAACACCTACAACACACCAACAAACGGCTGCAACCTCCACAACTCTACCTGTGTTACAGCATGACCACCACTCCAGCATACAGGTATCTGGAGTAGTTAACTTAGGGTATACTGAACAGCGCCACCTGCAACACCTACAACACACCAACAAACGGCTGCAACCTCCACAACTCTACCTGTGTTACAGCATGACTCCAGCATACAGGTATCTGGAGTAGTTAACTTAGGGTATACTGAACAGCGCCACCAGCAACACCTACAACACACCAACACATGGCTGCAACCTCCACAACTCTACCTGTGTTACAGCATGACCACCACTCCAGCATACAGGTATCTGGGTAGTTAACTTAGGGTATACTGAACAGCATCACCAGCAACACCTACAACACACCAACACGGCTGCAACCTCCACAACTCTACCTGTGTTACAGCATGACCACCACTCCAGCATACAGGTATCTGGGTGGTTAACTTAGGGTATGCTGAACAGCGCCACCTAACACCTACAACACACCAACACATGGCTGCAACCTCCACAACTCTACCTGTGTTACAGCATGACCACCACTCCAGCATACAGGTATCTGGGTAGTTAACTTAGGGTATACTGAACAGCACACCACAACACCACAACACACAACACATGGCTGCAACCTCCACAACTCTACCTGTGTTACAGCATGACCACACACTCCAGCATACAGGTATCTGGGTAGTTAACTTAGGGTATACTGAACAGTGCCACCAGCAACACCTACAACACACCAACACATGGCTGCAACCTCCACAACTCTACCTGTGTTACAGCATGACCACCACTCCAGCATACAGGTATCTGGAGTAGTTAACTTAGGGTATACTGAACAGCCACCTACAACACCTACACACGCAACACATGGCTGCAACCTCCACAACTCTACCTGTGTTACAGCATGACCACAACTCCAGCATACAGGTATCTGGGTAGTTAACTTAGGGTATACTGAACAGTGCCACCAGCAACACCTACAACACACCAACACATGGCTGCAACCTCCACAACTCTACCTGTGTTTACAGCATGACCACCACTCCAGCATACAGGTATCTGGGTAGTTAACTTAGGGGTATACTGAACAGCCACCACCAGCAACACCTACAACACACCAACACATGGCTGCAACCTCCACAACTCTACCTGTGTTACAGCATGACCACCACTCCAGCATACAGGTATCTGGAGTAGTTAACTTAGGGTATACTGAACAGCACCACCAGCAACACCTACAACACACCAACACATGGCTGCAACCTCCACAACTCTACCTGTGTTACAGCATGACCACCACTCCAGCATACAGGTATCTGGAGTAGTTAACTTAGGGTATACTGAACAGCGCCACCTACAACACACCAACACATGGCTGCAACCTCCACAACTCTACCTGTGTTACAGCATGACCACAACTCCAGCATACAGGTATCTGGGTAGTTAACTTAGGGTATACTGAACAGTGCCACCAGCAACACCTACAACACACCAACACATGGCTGCAACCTCCACAGCTCTACCTGTGTTGCAGCATGACCACCACTCCAGCATACAGGTATCTGGAGTAGTTAACTTAGGGTATACTGAACAGCAGCCACCAGCAACACCTACAACACAACACACCACACATGGCTGCAACCTCCACAACTCTACCTGTGTTACAGCATGACCACCACTCCAGCATACATACAGGTATCTGGGTAGTTAACTTAGGGTATACTGAACAGCCACCTACAGCACCTACAACACACCAACACATGGCTGCAACTTCCACAGCTCTACCTGTGTTACAGCATGACCACAACTCCAGCATACAGGTATCTGGAGTAGTTAACTAGGGTATACTGAACAGTGCCACCAGCAACACCTACAACACACCAACACATGGCTGCAACCTCCACAGCTCTACCTGTGTTGCAGCATGACTCCAGCATACAGGTATCTGGAGTAGTTAACTTAGGGTACACTGAACAGCACCACCTACAACACCTACAACACACCAACACACGGCTGCAACCTCCACAACTCTACCTGTGTTACAGCATGACCACCACTCCAGCATACAGGTATCTGGGTAGTTAACTTAGGGTATACTGAACAGCACCACCTGCAACGCCTACAACACACCAACACATGGCTGCAACCTCCACAACTCTACCTGTGTTACAGCATGACCACCAC